GCGCAAGCACCTGGCTGGCCTGAGCTCCACCGCGGCTCAGCCCCACCAGGGCTTCATCTACAACAGCGGGGTCGTGCAGGTGGGGGGCGGGGGGGCCTTGTTGGGGGGGTGGGCCCAAGTGCTGCAAGAGGTTGATCACATAATACAGATTCTGCCCAGGTGGCTGCCACAGGGCAGTAGGGGGTGACTGACCACAGCGACATCGGCCAGCAAGCAGGTGCACCACCACGTGATGGTCCAGGAGTGTGGTCAGCCTTAGCTTCGGCCATGTTTGCGGCCTGTCAGGGCATCACCTGGCTGACATCTTGTTGGCGCAGGTAATTTATTAACCCATGACTCGCCCCCTCTGGATCGGGCGCCCCTGTGTCATGCAGAGCACGCCGCCGTCGCTGCGCACCAAGGCTGCGCGGCTGGCCGCCTCCAAGTGCGCCCTGCTGGCGCGCGTGGACGCCTACGGCCAGGACCCCTCGGGGCAGGTGGGGGCGCTTGGGAATGTGATCAGGATCGGGAGTCGCGCCTCGACAGCCCCGCCTGACTGAGATATGTGTGGTTGCAGCGCAGGCGTCAGCGAGAGTTTACATGCGCGCCTTGTTTGCTCACTGCGCCGCCACCTTGCAACACGCACCACCGGCACCCTCGACCAGGCGGGCACTCAATTTTTGGAAGAGATGCGGCGCAAAATTGAGAAGTGGCAGGAGCCGCCCCCCGCCAAGCAGGTGGGGCTCCACTCCCGGGGGACCTGCCCTCACCTCACCCGCACACACAATGTCTGTCATTTCCCCCCTTCCTTTCGACACACGCGCGGGCATATACACAAGCATACACATACGCATGCCACATACACAGATGCAGAATGAAGAGAAAGCTTACAAGTTGCTTGATTTTGATTTTCTTGGTGGCTCTGTGCTTGCTGATATTGTTGCCCCTTATGTGTATGCTTGCTGGCAGATCAGGTTAGGAATGAGGAGGTCCGCTGTGATGAGCGCGAGGCCGATGGCAGTGATGCTATGGTATGAGTAACTTATCTATCTATCTATCTATCTATACACCACACACACTCTTTCACACACACTCTCTCACACAAACTTTCTCACAACATGCAAATCGATTGCACCACTCTCCCCCCAGATCAAGCCCCTGCCGGCACCTGATGCGGAGGTCAAGAAGCGGCGGGGTGGCAAGCGGCTGCGGAAGATGAAGGAGCGCTTCGGCCTCACAGACGTGAGTCGCTCCGTTCACGATGTGTGGGTTTGATGACTCGTCGCAGAGGCTGCTGCTCGCGCGGCTGCTAGGAGCACCATGCTCTGCATGGGGCCGCATCCAGCATCGGCTGGCTAGCGCCCAGCGACCCCCACCCCTGATGAGCACCATTGCCGGCTGAGCAGCAGCAAACCCCTGCCACTGTCCTTGCCACCGCGCACGGATTCGCTGCCGCCCGCGCTCGCCGCAAACGCTAGCTCTAATATGTACCCCCTCCCTGCCCCCATGATGCCAACACGCTGCCCCACCGCCCCCAATCCCCCATCCGACCTCACCCCACCACCCACCTCACCCCAACCCCCAAACCGCCTCCGCACCCCTCCAGATGCGCAAGGCCGCCAACCGCACGATGTTTGACTTTGCCAAGGCCGAGGAGGAGTACATCGACGGCGACGAGGTTGTGGGCCTGGGGGTGCTGGGCTCCAAGGAGGGCAGCGGCCAGCTGCGGGTGGTGGCCAACCAGCAGAAGCTGCGGCTCAACGCCAAGCAGCAGAAGAAGTACAAGGGGCGGCTGGGGGGGCTCGGGGCCGGCGGCGGCGGCGGCGGCGGCGCGGTCAACGGGCTCAGCAGCAGCCTGGCCTTCACGCCGGTGCAGGTGAGGAGGGGTTTTCGGAGAATGGGGGGTTGAGGGTGGTGCTGCAAAGGTGGGCGGCTGTGGTGTCCCTGGTGTGGTGTGGTGCGGTCCATTGCAGCGCAGCCCTGTTTGGTGATACTTGATCGACAACGGCGCCTGCCCTCGTCGCTGCAAATCATACTGCTGTCCCAGCGCCCCATCCCACCCCCGTACTCCACCTTCCCCCACCCCTTCCTCCACCCCCCGCAGGGCATTGAGCTCAGCAACCCCCTGGCAGGGCGTGGCCCCGAGGTTGACGCAGCCAAGAGCGGCACTGAGAGCTACTTCTCAGAGCGCGCCGGGTTCAGGAGCCTCACGGCGGCCAGCGCGGTGGCCGGCCGCAAAACGGGCACGCAGCTGCACAAGTAGAGGCGCGCCTGGTCCCGGCTGTGTCGTAGCCGCACTCTCCTCTTCAAGGCAGCTAGCGTTTCAGCCCCATCGCCGGTTTCATGGCTTTTTGACCCTGATTTTGCTGTGGTTTTGTCGTGCCGCCTTTACTCGTGCTGACTGACCTGTTGTTTCAGCCACGGCTGTGTCCCCCCCCAGCGGGCTCCCTCACGTGACCGCAGCCTTCGCCACGAGCCTGTAAGACTGACCAGTCCGCACATGGCCCCGTCTGAACGCGTGCGTTACACCCGCCCCCCGCCTTGCCAGCCGTGCAAGCCCCTCAGGCGGGGATGGCCAGGGCAGGGGCGACGGCGTCAAAGGGCACCACCTCCGCAGCGCGCTTCTGAGCGGGCGAGTTGTGGGCGTTGCGGGGCAGCACCACGGTGTCACCCTCCAGCGCCCAGCCGTCACGCGACACCTGCCAAGAGGGAATTTTTCCAGGGGGGAGGGGGGCCCGTGATGCTGGGCGGCAGGGTGGAGGGAGGGTGTAGGGCTGCGCGCCTCCCTTCTCCTGATGGTGCGCACTGCTGTGGTGCAGTCTCGTTGTCGCGTACCAACAAGGCAGGGAACGTCCACTGCATGCCAGTTGGCCACCCCTCATGCCGCTGCACGGCGCAACGCAACATTGCCACCAGCACCCTGCCCCTTCGCACTCACTCGGCCGCCCCCCCCCCCCCACACACACACACACACACAC